AAATAATTTCTAACATTTACTTCTTACTTTTCTATTTTCTTCAGATAAAGATAGTTGCCAAAATTTTACTTGCTGAACTGGTTTAACTTGAGTTTGTAAGTACGACGATTGGTCTCGTGTAGGTACAGTGTAGGTACATTGGTTTGGTGTAGGTACAGTTAAGGTACATTGGTTTAGTGTAGGTACTAATTATTGAAAGCTTGAAAGTTATTCAAATGATGAAGATCGGAACTAGGTAAATATACAGGTCTATTGGTTAAATTTAATGAATTTGATGTATTGAAAGTAGAAAATGATGTGATAGATGACTGAACTGACACTAATAATCCCTGATTAGCTACTGATTGGTTAAAACTTGATTGAGCTTGAGGATAGACATCTTGTCATTTTATTTTATTTATTTAAATGATAGCTTGTAATTTTATTTAATTTATTTGTAATATGTAACGATATGCATACCATATCGTTTATTCTAACCATTTTTTCCCTAGCTAAAAAAAAAATAAAAATTCTGCGTACCATACCCGTATGGGCTTGAAACACCCATTTGACCCATATTTTGAATATTGTGCATGTTAGGTCGTGCTTGTATCCACCTTGATCCACCTTGCCCAAGATCTACAATACCTACCTGATGGACTTGATGATGAGGACTTTGACCCCGAGCTTGATTTACCATGTGAGTTTGCTGTTGCTGCTGCTGTTGTCGGAATTGTTGTAGAATTTGCGTATACTGTTGTAGGGCTTGTCTTTGCATCTGTGGCCCACTGCCTTGACCTTGAGATCCTACTTGACCAACGGGTCCACGAATAACGTTAGCTTGTCGTGGCATTTCACCGGCTATGTTCAAGGTTGATTGCCCTTGATGCTGTTGCGGTTGCATTATTTGCTGAGGAGCTTGTGGACGGAGACCTGGATTTTTAAAAATCAGTTAATTACTCTATGTAACAAATTATTTTAGATTATTAAAAACTGTTAATAAGAATTGTAAATCTGTTCTTAATAAAATTGCTTAAAAATATTAAAATAATTTCTAACATTTACTTCTTACTTTTCTATTTTCTTCAGATAAAGATAGTTGCCAAAATTTTACTTGCTGAACTGGTTTAACTTGAGTTTGTGAGTACGACGATTGGTCTCGTGTAGGTACAGTGTAGGTACATTGGTTTGGTGTAGGTACAGTTAAGGTACATTGGTTTAGTGTAGGTACTAATTATTGAAAGCTTGAAAGTTATTCAAATGATGAAGATCGGAACTAGGTAAATATACAGGTCTATTGGTTAAATTTAATGAATTTGATGTATTGAAAGTAGAAAATGATGTGATAGATGACTGAACTGACACTAATAATCCCTGATTAGCTACTGATTGGTTAAAACTTGATTGAGCTTGAGGATAGACAGATTGCATTTTTGTAGCCTGCCAGTACTAATATATAAACTAAGCAAACATGTTTGATAATTTTTATTGGTTGTAATTTTATATAATTTATTTGTTATTAGTTGCTGATGTTTATGGATCAGTAATATTATTGACTTTATATTAGTTTATTTATAATTTTTTAAATGACGAATAATTGTGTTAAAATTTATTGATGGCCTTTTCACCTGATTCTTATTACGAATTTTTATAAATTTTTTGCTAATAATAGAAACTTACCAGATTGCGAAGCTACATCAGCTACTGGTCGTTGTGTTGCTGGTTCACGATTCGACTGACCATTTGCCAGACAATTAAATTGTAGTTGATGACCATCAATTGTAGGCTCTGATGCTGTCAATTTGTCAGGAAGATCTTCAATAGTTGAAATATCTAATTTGGATGATGATTCTAAATTGGACAGTAAAAATATAATTACAAAATTTTTCATTATAATCGCATTAAAATTTCATTCAGTTTAATTGTCTATCTATTAATATTCGATACTTTGTATTAAGAATTTTCCAGAATAAATTAACTCAGTTGCAGTAAGTTGTTGCCAATGCAGCCAACAAAGTATTTTTGAATTTAGTTAATATAAATTATTACTTACCCATTTCAATGAGATTCGCTTTTCAATCCTTGGATAAACTGTGTTACGTTGATTTAAATTGTACTTGATAATATAATTATTTACATACTACATGCAAAATATCGTAGAATTTGGACCTAAACGTGATACTCCATTTGCTGTATGCAGTTTTGGCTCAAGTCGCAATATCGATCAACCTTGATGTATAGGTTAAGTTGTGTAATACAAAAAATATAATATTATTTAAAATTTTAATTTATCTTTAAAAAATTCAGTAGTTTTATTTTCATAAAATGAAAAATAATAACTTATTATACTTTTTAAAAATAAACATAAGTAATCGTATAAATTAAAACATACAATGATGAATGAACCAAACACTCCAAATACCGCAAATAAAAGATCCTTTTTCCGAAAAAAAATCTATAGTAGATAATATAGTTTGACGCACTATAGCGTATGAATATCCGAAAAAAAAAAAAAAAAAAAAAAAACAGATATCTGATTCAGAAAGATAATTTGAAATGATTACCTCCATGTTAATTGTATATCTATATACTATTCAAATCCGATGCATTTAATTTATTTCAAATTAGATTTCTTAATCAGGGATATACATTTAGCGGAGTTTCTCACTATTCAGGACGTAAATTTGAGCATCAAAAGTTTTTGACCACTATTAAAATGTATCACATTGTTAATGTATCAATTACGGAGTAGAATAATTCGCAGGCATGCTCAAATTATTTAATGAAAGACAAATTGAATGAAATGAATTATCATTCGTAAAAAAAAAAAAAACTAAAAAAAAAACAAAAAAACAAACAACACACACACACACACACACACACACACACACACACACACACACACACACACACACAACACACACACACACACACACACTAAGAAAAAAAAATACTTTTATTAAGAAAATTTTCTTGATGCAAGAATTTATGTTCTTGAAAATTTTCAAGAATATATATTATTAGCTCAAGAAATTGTTAAATTGATTGAAATAATTTTTACTTAATTTAAATAAAGCTATTCTTTTGCTTATCTATTATCCAAAGATAAATATTGATGCTCTTCTCTTCAGAAATTAAAAATTAATATTAATAGAATATTTCAACGAGTTTCTTGAACCAAGAAATTGTTAATTGAGTAAAAGTATTTTTTTTCTCAGTTCACAGGACCTCAAACCGTCAAGATCTGATGAATACTCGATTTTCGAAAAACGGAGTAAAACCAATAACTTCCCGATTTTCTAAAAACTTCAATTTTCTTAACGGGAAGTTGAAAAATACTATTCGCGGAAAAACGCCGACTTACGCGTTATAATCAGTACCTGCATTTGCATTACGGCCTTAAATAGCATAGAGGTACTTCTATAATGACATTTTACCTCTATAACTATATGGGAAAACCACAGAAAACCCGGCCGGTGCAGAGGCTGGCAATGTAACGCACATATTCTTTATTTTTATAATCACTGAAAAATATTGATGCGTTCCGGAATCGAACCCTGGTCCCACTCTTTCAAAATGCAGGTACCGATCCGATTAGGCTATTGCCAGCCTTTAATAAATAATTAATAATTAATCAAATAATTTAGTTTTTAATGATAATTGTTTAAAAATCTATAAACGTTATTAACAAATAAAGCATATGTTACTTGATATCAAATTTGTTAATTAAACTGTTCACTTGTTTCAGATACCTATACTTCAACTCACTGGCAAGTTACAAACAAAAATTCATGAGTACAGATAGTCTGAAGCAACCCGAATACTTTCAGCCAATAATGTACGAAGCAATAATCAAAAGACCAAGTCAAGCTGGGGTCCAGGCTACGTCAAAGGATGGCGTATTGTTCTTTCAGCTTGCCGAGTACACAGCAATCGCGTGCTGGAATATGCAACGACCTTTTACTCCAGATAACATTGAAGTTATTTCACTTGATGAAGAAGCACTGCAGTACGTCAGTGGGATTAAGGTTATAACGAACTCTGAAGGCGTAGAAGAACTTTGGTTGAATACAAACAGACTCCAGAAAACAGTCAACAACACGAGAAAACCCACGGAAGTTAATTTCCGAATTATTGTTGGTATCGTTAAGGATATCATCCGAGGAACTAAATGTGAACCTTCTGGACTACGCACTTCATATCCAGATGTCTCAACATGGCGGAGAATATACTAGAAAAATTAACATTAATTTAATCTAATTTTATCTGTAATTTCAATAATTTTTTTCTGAAATAATGATTATATTTTGAAATAAGTTAAAAAACTTTAGTTAAGTTGTTTTTATTTTCTTATTGTATGTTGTTGCTTTGTTTTTTAAAAATTTCGTGGAAAAAGAATAGTATTTGAGTTATACTTGCTCTGCGCATGCGCCAAATTTGTTCCAGTGATTCTATAATGGTTCCTGATAGGCGTATGCGCGGGATTCGTTCCAGTGATTTTAAAGTCATACTTGGTCTGCGCATGGATAAAATTTGATCTACTAATACTAGACTTAATAATTGTTGTCATTATAAAGCCATATTATTTGAAATTTTCGAAAATAAAGGGACATTCTTTTAAGAATTTGAAAAAAATTTTTAAATCAGTAAAAGCAAGCACCAAAACATTCAATACTGAATCTAAATTTTTACAATTGTGTCAACTTTAAAATTCTGTTAAACCATCATTTCTCAAAAATGTCTTGTTTAACATTGACCATCAGTATCTCGATTATTATTCAAGCAACAAAATTCATTTATGGTGTTAAATTTGTTGCTATAATTAAAATTTTTTGCTTGATAAGATTCCGAGCAATCATTAATGATGTCGGTCAATAATACTAGATTGTGTTAACGCGCGGTAGCTTTGCAGACATTTCTAAATTAATTTTTTCATCATTTTCGTTTAGTAAGTTCAATTTTGGCACTCTAAACAATCTGAACATCTCTGTTCAGAACATTGTGAACATTTTTCTCAAGTAATTAAAAAAACTGTAAATCTAACGGTTAATTTTTGAGAATTTTTGAGAAAACTGATTTTTAAAACACCTTTACGACAAGTCCGAAAAATAGTCAAATTTTCCAAATTTATATAATACAAAAGTTATAACTTAAAAAAAAATTATTTTATTTTTTTTTGCTTTTTGATATAGAAAAATACAATCATTGCAAAAATTATCAATGCTTTACTTTTAAAACCTGAAAATCGTAAAATTTTAAAGCAATCATCAGAACTACGTATTATCAAATCAAGTAAATAGTTGTGTTATTCAAACGATAATTATTTTATTATGACCTATTATTATTCTATTTATAATTATAATTTAACTATCGTTATTCTCGGGTAAATATATTCAATAAAATTTTAGTACATTAAATACCAGAAATTAATGAAATACTTGAGACTATAAAATCCGTATGTGTCTCTGATATTTACACTGTATTTTTTGGGGCACCGTTCCGTTATTATTATAATTTTGTGAAACTTCAGATAAGTACTTAAATTTTTGTAAAATTGTACTAATACAACGTACGTAGATTTTTCATTTGCATTTTATTTTTTTCAAAAAAATTGTGAATATATTAATAATTTAATAGAGAATTATAGGTGTTATGTAAAAAATATTAATTTAGGGTAATTAATTAATTTTACATTTAAAATATTTAATGTGTTTAAGTATTTGGTCCTAGCGTGTTAGGCTAATAGACCGGGAACTTCCGAGTTTTAGTTTATTGAGAATGATAGGTTTGTTTGAATAAATTGATGTAGTTGAACAATTTTAATACATATATTGTTTAAATCCAAAATTAATATCATTAGTTAATTTACAATAGTTACAATTATTACACAGTGATTGAAGTTAACTTTTCTTTCATATAACGATTTTACAATATTACCAAATTCACAAATATTAATAATTCACAAATATACCTGATAAAAAATTTGATGAACCTTGTTAATTTATGACTACGATTATCATCCATGATTTATAAACAATAATGAAAATTATCAGGAACTTGGACTATAAAAAATAACTCAGTGTCAAATTTTTTAAATGTTGCAACGTTTCGTTGTATTTCACAACTTCATGAGGCAAACTGTACAAAAGAAAACACATTGTTAATAACAATATGACAATATGGAAAATATTTTTCTTTGAAAGGTGATTTTGTCAAAAATGAAATAGTAAGAATTTTTTATAGGGATTGCTTTAAGATAATTTTTATTTATTTATTTGACTGAGATTATTTGTATTAATTAATATTTTAAATCATAATCATTTCAAAATTGAGAGTCGGCATAGTAGATTGGAGAAGCACAACTGTTTTTACCATTGCAGTTGTTTACACTCAGTCTGTTGCTGTCTGTCTTGAATGTAATTATTGTAATTTTATAACTTATTATTGTTGACTAATTTGTTTAAATGGAATGGAAATTGACTAAGTTTTCTTAATATTATGGTTACCACTTGTTCAACTTTATTTATATATTGTAAAACGATGAAATTTTTCGGAGTTTATCCACAGATTCGGTAGAATCTGGCGCCAAGTTCCGTTCAAATCCGTTGTAAACGGAGCGCCAGACTACCGAGTGTATTTACTGTAAGCAGAACGGTATTTCGAGGTTGCAAAATTTTATTTAATTCTACGGTAATTTTTTTTCCTAAATTTTATATTATAACAGTAATTCATACTTTATTTTACTGATATTAATTAATTATATTTAATTATAACAATTAATCTACTTGAAATTATTAAATTTAATCAGCACAAACTATAGCAACGCAAAAAT